AGGAATAGCCTCACCTAGCTACATGCCCAACGTATGAAAGATCAAGCGTTGCTATCTTTGCCTTCTAAGTTGTGTTTTTTTTTCCCCCAGTCCATGGAATATTCAGTACTCCTCTCCAGCAACCACAACGCAAAGGTGTTAATTCTTCTGTCATATTTATTCATTATTTAGCTCTCTGGTGCATAGCAAGTGACTGAGAAGACCATGGCCTGAATCAGGCACACCTTAGTCTTCAAACTGATGTCATTGCTCTTCAGCATTTTGTAGAAGTCCCTGATAGTGGGTTTGTCCAATGCGATGCATTTTCTGATTTCTTGACTCCTGGTATCAAGAATGTTGCTTGTTGATCAGAGCAAGATGAAATAATTGACAGCTTCAATCCTTTCCCCACCTATCATAATGTTGACTCTTGGTCCTGTGGTGAGGGCCTTTGTTTTCTTGATGTTGACTAGGCGAGAGAAACAGGAGTGGATAAAAACTGAGAGCAGTGCAAAGGACCTTCACACATTTTCAGAAAGTACAACCCATCTGGGAATATCTGCATAAGTTAAATCAATAAGCCCCCCAAACGGCTGCCATCGAATTGTTTCCAATTGATAGTGTTCCCATGTATCACAGAAAAAAGCTACTTCAAAGGCCTGTTTTGGTTGCTATTGCAATCTTTATGGAAGCAGACAACCAAGCCATTCTTACATGGTACCACGGGCTGAGCTTGAAGCACAAGCTTTCAGTTGCCAAGTGACAGGACCACCATGTTCCTTGGCATATCAACACCAGATAGAAAATGGCGATGACTTAAGCTTTCTAATACAAATAGTTTTATTTTGTTTCAACTCTTCCACAATTAACAAATTGCATTCCCTCCCTCTTCTCACGAAGAGGCATAGTGTGTCATGTGCTGGGTTACTTGAAGGATTGGGAGTTCGAATCCACTTTCTGTCCTTTAGGAGAGAGACAGACAGTCTCTCCCCGTTAAGCCTCCTGAGGGAGGGTCGGCATGAGACCACTTCAAGGCAGTGGATGAGGCTGCCTGGTTTCCCCTTCTTCTGTTACACAGGGTTTCTTAGGACAAATGATGAAGTAGGTTTTATCCTGATTTATAGACATAGGTAGTTGTTACATACATGGGAGGAGATAATATATCTTTCTGCTATGGGGTACCTAAGGGCTGGCAGGATAACTTCAGTCATCAGAAGTCCCCAAATTAACTTTGCCAAAAGATGAATTGCATTGGGGAAATTTGCTATAGGAACCTCTCCAGAGTGCTGAAAAACAGTGATGTCAGTCTAGAGACTAAACTGTGCCTAATCCAGGCCACGGTCTTCTTAATTATTTGTTATGCTTCAGAGAGCTGGGCAAAGACTAAAGATGACAGAAGAATTGATGCCTTTTAACCGTGGTGCTGGAGATGAGTCTTCAACAAACCATGGACCGCCAAGAAAACAAATAGGTATGTCTTGTTGTTGTTGTTGTTAAGTGCCGCTGAGTCGCAGGCGACTCATAGCAACCCTATGAAGGAGAGTCCTCAACACTTGGGTGTCTATCATCCTCTCTCCAGGTTCATAGGGTTTCCAGAGGCAAGCTATTACGGAAGTGGATGCCACTCCTCCTGCCAAGATTGTTTTCATCGGGGAGCTCCACCTCACTCTCTGTCTGCATTGGGTAACCAGCCATTAACACATTTGACACATCGTGTCACAGTGTTTGGCCTCACAGCAACCACAAGTGATCATTGTACGGCAACTTGTACACTAGGACTATACGACCTAGAGGAATGTCTGAATAAAAACAATGAAAGACAGGCCCAAGGGCCGCAGATTAATAGTCACCCACCTTGGCCTTCTGTCCACTGGGCCAGTTGATCTCTCTCTCTATGTTGATGTTATTGTTGTTAAGTTCTGTCGAGTTGCAGGCGACTCATAGCGACCCTATGAAGGAGAGTCCCCAATGCTTGGGTGTCTCTCATCCTTTCTGTAGGTTCGTAAGGTTTCTGGAGGTGAAACCAAGTTTCTCCTTGTAGGCTAGGATTTTGAAGCTTCATCTCACATAATTTGTGCAAGTGGACAGGATAGACCAGTCCTTGGTGAGAGAGAGACCTCGTGCTTGGAAGGGTGGAGGGATGGCACAGTAGAGGAAGACCCTGGATGAGATGGATTGTTATAGTAACTGGGACGATGGGGGTCAGTTTGTGGAAACTAGTTAGACTGGCTCAGGACAGGGCAGGCTTCAGAGCTGCTGTACATAGGGTCACTATGGGTCTCAGGTGACTCAACAGCATGTAACAACAATAAACAGAAAAGGGCCATAGTCCGCAGGAATGCCATAGCTGCAGGAAAGTGACCCATGGACCTCCAAAAGAACAGAGATGTCTTGGTGAAGGTGCAGCCAGAGTGCTCCTTGAAGGCAGGGATGGCGAATACTTTGGGCATGTTGTTAGGAGAGCCTATTCCTTGGAAGGGACATTATGCTTGGAAAGGGAGAGGGTCAGCGAAGGAGAGGAAGACTTCAATGAGATGGGCTGACATAGTAACTGCCCCCACGCATTGAGAGGGTCAGAGATGAGGGCAGGACAGGATAGAATAGGATTCAGGTCTGTTGTTAATCGTATATGTTCGACTTGATGACGCTTAACAGCACAGATACAGAAGTGGAGTCCAGGAGAGAAACAGTGACTTTCCCTCGGTTGTACAAATTACAGGTACTCTGACTTTCCTTTGTATTTTCCGAGGAGTCCTGAAAAATGCAAATTCCTCATCCAGATGGAGGCATCCTGCCCCTTCTCCAGTAATGTCCTGTCTTCCAGAAAACTTTTCAGCTCCAGCCAAGGCACACTGGGACAGGGACACACACTCCAGCGGCTTCTTCACCCGCCCTTTCGCCTTGTGGGTCACTTGGAATGCACTTCTCCACTGAGTTTCACTGCGCTCTCAGATTGTGTCCTAGTGCTTTCTACTCCTACCTATTGTGGCACAAATGGCATTCTTAGAAAGGTGACCCAACAGTGTGGAAACTATAGAACAATCTCACTGATTTCACATGCAAGCAAGATTTTACTGAAGATTATCCAAAAACGACTGGAACAGCACATCAGCAGAGAACTACCAGAAGTCCAG